CTTTTAATTAATTTAATATTAAAATATTAGTGAGTAAGTATAAAGTTCAGTTGCTAAATAAGAATTTATATATTACTCTAAATTTAAATAAGAATTTATATATTATATTTTAATTAATTTAATATTAAAATATTACGATGTAAGTATAAAAGTTCAGTTGCTAAATAAGAATTTATATATTACTATAAACTTTTAATTAATTTAATATTAAAATATTAGTGAGTAAGTATAAAGTTCAGTTGCTAAATAAGAATTTATATATTACTATAAATTTAAATAAGAATTTATATATTATATTTTAATTAATTTAATATTAAAATATTAGGTAGTAAGTATAAAGTTCAGATGCTAAATAAGAATTTATATATTATTATAAACTTTTAATTAATTTAATATTAAAATTTTAGCCGGTAAGTATAAAGTTCAGCCGCTGAATAAGAATTTATATATTACTATAAAATTTTAATTAATTTAATATTAAAATATTAGTTGGTAAGTATAAAGTTCAGTTGCTAAATAAAATTTTATATATTACTATAAAATTTTAATTAATTTAATATTAAAATAAATATTTAGCTCGTAAGTATAAAGTTCAGTTGCTAAATAAGAATTATATATTACTATAAAATTTTAATTAATTTAATATTAAAATATTTAGGTCGTAAATATAAAGTTCAGTTGCTAAATAAGAATTTATATATTACTATAAAAGTTTAATTAATTTAATATTAAAATATTAGCTTGTAAGTATAAAGTTCAGTTGCTAAATAAGAATTATATATTACTATAAACTTTTAATTAATTTAATATTAAAATATTAGGGAGTAAGTATAAAGTTCTGTTGCTAAATAAGAATTTATATATTACTATAAATTTTTAATTAATTTAATATTAAAATATTAGCAAGTAAGTATAAAGTTCAATTGCTTAATAAGAATTTATATATTACTATAAATTTTTAATTAATTTAATATTAAAATATTAGGTAGTAAGTATAAAGTTCAGTTGCTAAACAAGAATTTATATATTACTATAAACTTTCAATTACTTTAATGTTAAAATATTAGCCCGTAAGTATAAAGTTCAGTTGCTAAATAAGAATTTATATATTACTATAAACTTTTAATTACTTTAATATTAAAATATTAGGATGTAAGTATAAAGTTCAGTTGCTAAATAAGAATTTATATATTACTATAAATTTAAATAAAAATTTATATATTATATTTTAATTAATTTAATATTAAAATATTAGGATGTAAGTATAAAGTTCAGTTGCTAAATAAGGATTTATGTTATATTTTAATTAATTTAATATTAAAATATTAGGTAGTAAGTATAATGTTTAGTTGCTAAATAAGAATTTATATCTTGCTATAAAATTTTAATTAATTTAATATTAAAATATTAGCAATTAAGTATAAAGCTTAGTCGAAAAATGAGCATATAAACATTTACATCGGGAAATTTTAGATAGGGTGAATTTCGATTATCAGCTATAGGGGCGATTGCCATCGATTAGAAAAATCGATAATGATCGACATACAATCGATGAAAAAATAATCTATTTTAATTCGTTTCGGTGCTAATTGATCAATATTATTACGGTTTACGAAATTTATGTGCTTGTGTTTCTTTTACTTTCTCTTGACATACTTGGCATTCTGCTGTTACATATATGTCTGGCCTTCGTTTAAAAAAAAGTAATCAGTGTTGCAGATCATAATGAAATCTGATCAGTGAAATTTAGGGGTCTCAATTTAAACATATAAGCCCTACCAAAATCCACCTATACTCTTTTCCTAATAATTCTAACCCTAAACCCTAACTTAACTGACAAAAAAGGCCCAAAAACTTTTTAAAAATCGGACATAAAATAAGTTATGATCTGATTTTATTTTTTGACTTTTAAACTAGACAAAATTTGCGTATTCAATTGAAGATTTTTAATGCGCAACTTCTATTTCTGCAAATATATTACACATAGGGATGTTAACAATCCGGTCTAGTCCAGTCTGGTTAATTTTGGTCCAAGTCTGGTCTGGTTTATTATGGTCTTTCAGTCCTAAGACTTTATTAGTCTAAGCCAGTTCAGTCTTAAGATTTAGAGCAGACCTATTTTTTGGAGGTTCAGACTGGTCTTAAAATTAACTGTAGTCTATTAGTCTAAGACCAGACCAGACCATATAACATCCCTAATTACACAAAATGATGAATATGCAACTTTTTATTTCTATAAAAAATAAAATTTTTACAAAATAATAGATGTGCGAATTTTGTCTAACCTAAAAGTCAAAAAAAATGTTGAAGAAACCGGAAATCAGTAATCGAAAATCAGTGATTACTTTGTTTTTAATGATCTTGAAATTTTACATAATTTTGCAAACCGCAATAATCGATTTTAATCAGCATCAATATCGATTCTGCTTATCGATTGGCATTTCCATCTGTCAATCGATTGCCAACCAATTTAAAATTTCCTGATTTAAGTATTATTGTCATTTATTTAATACTTTTAAATCACTTTTAAAATCACTAATTTAAAAAATATATGTTTAAAATTTAATATATTTAATTATTAGGCTGAACTACAATAATATCGGAATTTATAGCAGTGTAGAAGATGCATTGCGTGTGAATAAATATTCGTTTTCAAGGATTTTTTATGGTGAATTTGAAAATATTAAAGAAATTGGAAAGGGCGGGTTTTCAACTGTATATTATGCTGATTGGA